AAATTAACAGCTTAGAAATTCCTTTCAAAATATTAATTTTTAAATCCGCCCCTGTGTTTTAGCTGGCATAATATAAAAAAGAAACAATTGCACGAGCTAGATAATAAATAAAACTAAAGAATTATAATTATTAACTGATCACTATTTGTAGCTCAAGAATTCGGAATTTATTTCAGAAGGTTTAAAATATTCTAACAAATATTTATTTCACATCTCATTAGGTATTAAAGTTATGATAAATCCTTTGAGTCTCGCAGTATGTTATGATGATTTATTTTAAAAAATGTATCGATTACAGGTGGTCCCACGTAACATGATATTTTGGGACAACCACTTAAAGAATTACGGTTAATCATTTTACCATAAGAAATGTGCATAACATTACCATTCGTTCACATTAATCAAGAGTTCGTTTCAAACAACAATCATGTAAGTTTGATTATTGATTCATTAACATAACGTGCGTACTTTGTCTTACACATTTTAAAAGCAAATCACATTCCTTCATACATTAGTTAGCATAAGCGTTCGATAAACTAAAAGGTTCTAATGTTTTGTTCCCGACTTTTCAACAAAGATTACAAACAAGAGTGGCCTCGGTTTTAGATAAACGTTAAGAGCTTTGAGACCCTACTAAAGTGACCACAGCTTTATCATGCCTCGGATACCTTCACCTGAGTGATTCCATTTCGTGTCATGTAATAACGAATCACTTAGTAAAACGTAGCAATGTTCCTTCATTCAGAAACATAAAATAAAAATAATTTAAAAGTAGATAAACATGTTTACTTTATGCAAAATAAACCTAGCGGTATTTAGATACACATACAAATCGTATTATAAATATTAATGCAAATAACTCAATCATTATTCTTAGGTATTATCCTAGGATCAAATGTTAGCTGTAGTTGAAGGTGGACCATCTCTCAAGGGGAACTAATCATGGCCATCCTTCACGCAGGACAGTAAAAAATGCAGCGTCCATCCAGTTGATTTACAACGTTCTTTCGCTCTCCGATTTCATGGTCGGCTTGTAAAGGCATAGTATTCCTATTACGTGCACAGGTAGACATGTTCCACTCACTCTACTAGTTCAAACACTCACATTTTGACACAGTGTCAATCGTCGCCCAGACTTTAGGAACACAACCGCTTCCCTATGAACTCTCTCAATAAATAATAGCTCAACGAAACATCGGTATTCTGAAGTTGGCAGAACAGACGACCATTGAATTTTGTTATGATATTTGATTATAATTTACATATTATTTATAGCTGTAAGATATCTTGATAAAATACCAATATTCTTATAATGCGAAGCGATTCAAAATCAGAATCGATACTTTTTTACACTGTCATCGGATAAGATTTCTTATTTACGATTTTCCCTAAGTTCGATTTAAGTTATTCATATTTAAAAGATGCTCTGTAGGTATTTCGTTCAGGTTACAAATGATTCACGTTTAGGCTCAGTGTAGGTGTTCGTATCAATGAAATAACATAATTTTAATGTAGGTAGAGTTTTTATTGCAATATAAACAAATCAATAATGCACGAAGATACTAAATGTTATTTATGGGGCTTACTAATTATTGGGTTTTATTTTGGTAACTTAATGGGCTTTTGCGAAAAGTCGTGATACTTAAGAGCTGCCCTCAGCAGCAGCGCAGCGCCGGACATGCGTCAAAATACCTGTTTCACTTCGCACACTTAAGGCTTGTGTATAATAAATTGTATATTTTTAACTCGTCCACATCAAAGTGGTCACGCGTAATTCAAATATGAGACGTTTTAGTGAAACATTTAAGATGTCCTACCATATTTCGGTTGAACACAGCATACAAGATCGTTTACAACCTGTTTACAAAATGGACTCGACTTTTTTTAATGTTAAAAGCGTTATCTCTTTTTAGAAGTTCTCTCTGACAATTTTAAAAGCCTCGTCGTATGTGAACTCTTGTTTTTTATTTATCCCTCTTTGGGATGTCGCCGCATGGTCACTCTTAATGGGGCATGTAAAATTATTAATAATTGCCATTTATTTCCAGTTTCGGGTTTCATGGTTGGGATTTATTCTTGTAATTTTTCTGTTGGTATGTCATCTGTATGTGCTTTTTCGTAACCAACGTTGTTGTGTATGTTATGGAAATTACAATTTCCCTGGCGCCGATTGTGCAGTACATCATTTTATTTCGACTTTTTTGGCGAGTGAATGCAGACGGTCGTTAAAACACGGCCACTTTGATAACTGATTATTCTCTGTTTTATAGCTTGTACTGAAGGCTTTAAGTTGCTTGCATTCATAATTATAATAAGTATTGTAATCCAGAGATGATAAACCTCGAATAGCTCCAAGCCACCAGTAATGAACATGACTATGAAAATGTGCAAAAAGCAATGGATCGCTTGTTTATTACTCAATGTAAACACAATTATAAGGCAGTCGTAAAAGGAAATAAATATAGCGTAACTGCGGTTCTTTCATCAGCTTTTACTGTGACAGAACTAATAAATGAACTACAACATGTAAATTAACTTAGTATCTGCTACCTTACCATAAAAATGATCCAAATAATATTTTTCTTTTGCGATTTAAACTGTCAAACACCAAGCGGTCACCGGTGACCGCGACCTATTGTTCTTTAATTGTGTCTATAAAACCGGTACTCGACGAGTTAAACAGGAGAATCAAAATAGCCAATAACTGCTTCAAAATATTTAAAACATTGAACAGTGTAGTTAATTTCAACTCGAAGTTTTGGTGCTATATAGAAATTCCTGATTAGTTATGGAAATTTGGATTCATGTACTTCTTCGGACCTTGAACCATTAGTTAGCAATTCGACGGTTATGAACTAGGGTCAAATCGTATTCTTATTTCACGTAGGCACAAAAATTCCAATGATTACTTTAGGTACTTTCATTAATATGTTTATTTTAAACACTGACCAAAACCGAAGAGGTTTGGGACCTTACTTATGCAACGTTAATTTATTTCGTGTGACACCTAACATTTGAACTGTATTGTTTTAGGAAAATTTACATTTCGTTCCGTTCATTATCGGAATTAACGAACGCAGTTGATGACACTGTAAAATGTATTAAAACCTTTTTTGAATAAAGTTTTATAGGATCTACTTTTAGAGCAAACCAATACTCCTTTAGTACTTCAATAATTGCTTGAAATGTACACAATTGTGTTTAGTACAGAATCAATCCTTTAATCGTGACCACTTGCTATGGCATACCTTTTACCCTTTTGCTACTAAACGTGACCCTTCTATCAAGTCAATAGAAATACCATTCCGTTTGGGTGCAGCCCAAATCACATTGTAAATACCAATAATAATTATTTTCTACTATGTTTTTGGCCCGCTCCTTTGTCTGTGATACAAATCTTACAAATTATACAAACCTTTCTTAAAAAGTGTTGTCCAGTAGTGAAATTCGTATCAAAATCCAATCAGCAGTTTTCGAGATTCTCACGAAGACACAGTGCAAAGCTTTTCTTTAATTAAGTAGTAGAATTAACAGTTATAATGAAAATAATGTTGTCTGACCTTAAATATTAACCAACCTATTGATTCCTCCTACATTTCTGAAGATCACAATTATATTACCACAGTACATTGTTCATTCGCCCTTGAGAGTACCTCTATTACCAAAAGTAAATTCATAAGTTCGAAAATGGAGCGTCCATTTAATATAACAAATTGCTCATAATGTCTGTTTATTATATTAATCAGATAAGAGCCTATTAATACGTCAGACCATTTTAAATCAAAGTCGCAGTAAGGTGAATGAGTCTGCCATTATAAAAAGTATTTAATAAGATCTATTTATCACGTCCATTTTATCTTAATATTAATATCTTGATGGATTTTTAGGCATAGTATACACTGCTGTAGCATAGTTACTCGCATAGTTGATCTCGCTAAAACTATTTGGCCTTCGGACTCCACACGTCGGTATATTTCCTTCCCATGTGAATCACAACGACCAAGACAAGTTTATTGGTGTTTGTCTGTTACAACTACGCAACACCTCACACGTGAAACGATTAAATTGAGATCGAGGACCAAACGTGTGATTCCAACTCACTGCGCGCCACTAACCTGTCAATCTCGCTTATTTAATACAAACCCTTCAATGTAAACCATCCTTAAAGTTACATGTTTATATTCCACTTTGCTCTGCCATTTAAGCAATTTTCTTAAAGACGGCTATTGGATTTTAATATGTATAAAGTACAACGAAATCGTCACATTTACATTCAGTGTCGCTAACTATTTGCTACAAATTTCTGAACAGTATGTACGATAGAATTATTCAGTTTTATACGCATTTGCACGGTTTTAGGAATCCGATGTGATTCGCATGTGATATTCGAATGTTTCTCGTGTTTTATGGGAACATAAATTCCTGTCGATGCTAATTTATTTTGCACAAACTAAATTTTGCTTACTAGCTCTTTGTTGTAACATGTAACGTCTGAAGTCACAAACTAAACCCTTAAGAGGGTACTAAAGTATTATGTATGAACTTTCTATTCAAGTATGTTCGTGACAAATAAATTTCAAATGTTATTACTAGATGTTAATTCATTATTCAGGAGGTATGAATAAGTGCGGAATACAAGATAGAGGAAGGTAAAAAACACAAGTTAATAGGCCAGTTTAAATGTAAGTTGTATGCAAGCCTATTCGATATACACGAGCCTCTCGTCCGAACACTTCGACATAGCGCGATAATTAGTTTTCGGCTGTCTAGCGGTCACGAATCCGAACATTCCGATGTATTGCCGACTCATCTAAAGGCTTATCTATATAGATACAGGTGTTTTTGTGTCGGATCTCTACACAAATCGGTTTGCGAGGCTGGCGGTTGAAAAATGATTTCAAGTTTAACTGTTTCGTTAAGTGCGATGTAGTCAAGTCGTGATAGGCAAAAACACTGCGATATTAAACGATCTCTTTAATATTTATTAACATTTGTTAAATTCAGATCAAACCAACATCTACAGCAACACGAACAGCGTGCACGAGTCGCATCTTGTGTTGTTCATGTTTAATTGGAGTCAACGGCCACAGCTCCACCAGTGGTATGCGGTCGAACTTACAGTCTTTGATCTCGAAGGATTGGTGTGTATCACAACGTTCATTAGCCAACAGAGGAAAAGAAGTTAATGAAGCCAGTATGCCATAAGAACCATACTTCTTTAATTCTTCTTGCAACGTTTCATATGGAAAAGCCTTGCTGGCATCTATTCCCATGTCAGTCAAGTAGTACTCCATGGCCTTGTAGTAAACGTCGACAGCTTCTATGAATTCTTCCTTGCTGCGACACTGGCGGCTGCATATCAGTATGAAATAGGACAAGTCGGCCGCGGGAGACGTACATCTCAATAATTGAAAATCAATAGCAACAGCTTTTTCTTTGTTGCACAGAAAGTTGGGACACCAAGCGTCTCCATGGTTAAACACGGGATGATCACCACGGCTGTTCACGATGCGCATTAACTGTCCGTAAATATCGTCATTGAACAAGGCGTTGAATCTTTTGTAATAAATACTGTCTGGATCTTCAAATTCCGCAATAACTTTTCTGTCAATATCAATGGCATCCTGGAGATAACTTGCATACCAGCTCTTATTGTTATCGTTGTAAAACACTTCATTCAATCTATTCGCAAGCTTCGCAAAGGTATCAGGCTTTTTAAGTCGCAGAGCAAAAGACACCGCATGTAAATGAGCCAAGCACTTAAGGACCATATTCCTCTCGTCAACTGTAGCGTTGTCAGGCAAAGAGATGCATTCAATCTCAGATAAGTCTTCTATCAAAATGTAATCGTCTTTACCGTCGAGATGACACCCGAAACATTTAGGAAGGTTGTTCTGGATCCTCTCTTTTGCACCAGATGCTTTTTGAGTCTCGCATAAAATAGGTAAAATGGTTGAGAAAAACAAAGCCTCTCTCTTAAAGTAAGTGTGGCACTCAAGAGACTTCCTCATAAGAGGATCGTTCACCAAACCTTTTGCGATGAACTGGGCTGTATGATTCTTCCCGATGACTTGGATACGGTACACGGCACTGATCAAGCCCTCTCCCGCAGGCGCTGCTCTCATTACTTCAATATTTTGGACACTGTCCTCACTATTTGTCTTCAACTTAAATACTTTATCAATAACATCTTCAGTTAGGTGCTTAGACACAGAAGCTAGTGTTAGTCGAACCATGGTGCTGATGCTAATGATGTCTTTACCTATTGTTTCAGTTATTTAAATACTCGAGTGCTAGACGAGATCAACATGTCACATTTTATCATTTACGTTAACATTTACTGTTTTAATACAAATATTATGTGATCTTATTATACACCAAAACAAATGACAATACTATTTGAACACGCTAGAACAAAGAGTACTCTTATGGTTCTACAAGATAAGAAAGATATTGATTTGTTAAATGTTTTACTTTGTAATCCCTTGCATCATGCTTTGTTTATTTTGTCGAACATGTGTTTCTGATGTGCTATGAAAATATTAGAAAATACGCAACTTTGTCGTACTGTTGCTATCCCAATCAGTTGATTGCAAAATGCATGATTCGAAAAATATGAAAAGCGATTCTGAGGTCGCATTTTAACGTGTGTTTGTGGTGAAATGTGCAATAATTGCAGTATTTTGTCAAGAGTGCGGGTGTAATTCCTGCTATAGTCTTAATTTGGTGGCTCGCATCACAGTGATGTATGACATGGCTGCAGGCTGCTGCGCGGTCGTGACGAGGCGTGCAAACTTCTTCACGAACCGCCGCCGGAGTATCCTACCTGCTACCATTTCTCATGCAGACCTTTATTATAGCTCCCTTCATTTTATGCTGGCCAGTAATGTAGGGTATTTGTAATAGGACGTAACTAGAGTACATGCGCATCTGTATCAATAGTCATTTCTTTTTATCCGATGAAATAACATGGCAATATCAATCTGAATGGCTTTGAATGCTAACGTTGGGATCTGGACATTCTCTTTGATTAGGGGAATCAACTGGAATACTAATTGACTAGTGAGTACGAGCATGGAATAAAAAGTGGTGCATCTAATCCTATAGTTTCATTACTCTATCAATGTTAACATCATCAAGTTTAATTATAATACAGGAAATGTTATCGCGTTACTTAAATAAAATCAGTGTCGTTTGTAACTCAAACATTTCATAATAGATAATGTTTGCTGTTTTTATCGTATACTGTTTCTGGTTGCCATTACGTCCTTAGTATGGTTCGATGTCATTGTCAACGAGACTTTTATTTTTAGATTACCCTAAACGTCTGATGTAAGTATGAACAAATCTCAACTACTTTCTTATTCATTGCATTATAAACTCAGCTCAGCTTCAGCAAAGTTGATCACATTGCGCCCGAACATAAGCCATTTAAGAAACCCTTAGAGAAATATTCTTATGTTACATAGTTAGGACAAGTAGTATGAACATTACCTATAAGTAAGTAGGTACCTTATAATAACCATCTTTAATAATTTAGGTCTCGATTCTGAAGACCATGTCTTGCAACAATAATTCCACCAAAAAGTCTGCATTTTTCCGCAAATGTTTAACTTAAGTCATTTATTATCTTCTCATTAACCACATCATCAATTTAAGGGGTGTTTTAATAATATATGCGAGATGACTGCGATGGATGGCTGGCGTGTCAAAGACTTACTCAACTTTATTGTAAAGTGGTAAAGTTGAATATCGTTTATAGAGATTTGAATTGATGTGTTTGGTTCGCGGGATTCAAGCTAAAGGACTTTTACACTATAATGAATAATTGACGCATAAGTATTTTAGTTTGAACCCTTTGATAGCCCAGGGTCACATCAACTGATGATACTGACTCAAAAATATTTGTCGAAAATCTTGCATCTCTTTTTGTCCGAGGTCTTATGATGTGCACAAACGTATAAATGTTATCTTATTTATCAATTATTTTTCTATTCTGTTTTATCAACACAAACATCATGAAGTCAATGATAAATAAAAATTACTTCATTGTTCTTTGCTTAGTAATAATTATGTATTTATTGACAAAATAAATATTAACTCTTGTTTTCTTACTTTGCGCACGCAGCGAAAGGCATGCTACTGTTTCATAACGTAAAAGGTAAGTGGAATTAGAATAAGAAAAAAAGATAGAATAAATAAATAACAGTTAATATAAAAAATATCGACTACAAATGAAAGACTGCATCATTGGCCGAGTGATCGCAAGTGCGACTGCCGGGCAAGGGTTCTCGGGTTCGATTCCCGGGTCGGGCAAATTATTACTGGGTTTTTGAAAAAATCTCAGTTGTAGCACGGAGTCTGGAAATATGCCTGGTATATGGCAATAGGCTCACCCCCTATTACATGAGACTCATAACATAAATAGTAAAAAGTGGGTGTTACATTGTACAGTGGCATAATGTGCACCTCTGCCTACCCCTTCGGGGATAAAAGGCGTGATGTTTTGATAATGTACTATGAGTTCGTATGCGCTTTCAAAGTTTGTTATTTGCAATGGTTCACCAGTTATTTTTAGCTTTAAACATATTATTTATTTGTATTACCAAGACAGAACAATTTTACTTCGGGACGAAAACGATATTTTCACGGTGTATATTATGATCTACTTCTGATAAGTTATTTACTTAAGGTATCACTAAGTACTAAGTCCCTTTAATCAGACACTTGTCCCATTTTCCGATTGTTTTGCAACTGTCGAAGAAACATTACAATTGCATACGTTACCTCTTCACCTATCTAACCAATACTAAAACAAACGCATGTCTACAAATTTGTCCATTACTAACAATAACATAAGTTTGTTTTTCATTTGCGCATGCAGACGCGGAACCTGGATTCTTCCGCAACCATAAAGGCCGTAAGTATGCTAGAAGACTTTATTTACTATCTCTATTCTTCCCATGGGTGTCATGAGAGAGAACTAAGGGACTATATATTTGACAGAGACTGGGTAGCATCCGTTCTCTGATGAACCTACTGAATCTTTTATTCTATCTCCAATCCTCGAGCCGAACATGGAGATTATGACAAATTCACTCAGCTCTAATTGTCCAAAGGCAAAGGCAGACTGTCATAAACTGATGTTTGTTTATTTATCGCATCTAATTCTAGAACGTTTTGCACACTCGTTTGACAAAGAAGAGAAAAAAAATCTAGAAAGAGTTTTTTAAGTAGAATATTTAATAGCACGCTACAACATCTTACGGTGAGAATGGCTAGGAAGATAAACATGTAACATATTCCTTTACTTAATAAAGCTTTATGTAAGATATACTAGCTTAAAATGATTTTACTTTCGTTTCAAGCTACCAAGGAACGACACGCTTCTATGACCAGAGGTAAGTGCTGTATAGGGTTATGACTGTACCTATTTTAGACTAATTAATGCAGTCAATTCTGTGTTCAAAAAAGAAATATATTATTGGAAGAAGACAGCAATAGTCAAAACAAAGAAGAATGGACAACCTACACTTGGTAGCAAAGAAATGGAGCCACTAGCGTTTTCTCTTATTCATTTCTTGATAAATATTTTTTAATACGTGTTTTATTAATTAGTTACGTATGTTGTGTATAAATGGCATTTAAGTTACGTTTAAAATGAGAGCATTTCGTTATCAAAGGAATATTTTTGTTAAAGTTATAGGAGCTTCGATAAAATGAAAAAAATCCTGCTATTGGCTCCGTTTCGTTGCTCCTAAGTGTAGTATTCACTCATCATTTATAGCGAACTATTTTGAATTAATTGTCATTAGTTATACTAGACCATTTCCACACAAGGTTTCTGTGAAAAAGTAAATAATTGTACTACATAATGGATATTAATTTTGATTAATTACTCCATACTTAAAATACTAACTGACAAATCAGTCTTCCTAGTACATCATTAAGTTGATAATAATGTAAATAATACAATTATTGCATTGCAAGTTTACTTAAAAGGCATCGTGGAAGTGAATGAACAATTGTAGATACATAACTGAGTTCGCGAACATCTGTACATAATGTGTACATTCTATAGATACATGCCAACATCCGCATTCGTGTGGCAATAATCAATCAAAGAAATTATTATTAATTCTATAAGTTCGACGCCATTTTGAAAAAAAGACAAATAATAAATAGAAAAGAGTTTCTATTTGGGATAGTATTTTTGTTTTTTTTTTGAGTTATTTACGATAGTTGATAGCACTGGCGATATTGATATAATAAGGTCTATTTTAATTAATTATTATTCTAAAATTCATATTATTTAAGAAAAAAAACATAAAATTAAGTACCAATGTGTATTTTTTTAGAATATCATTTTTGCTACATTTATTTTGTGAGCTGTTGAGAATAGAACTGGATTTTTATAAATACTCAGCTTGACATATGCGTCCACCTTTATCACAACATAGTCACACCACACTAATCAGTTATTCATTAGAATAAAACTCGTGTCTAATCACAGGAAATTGAGAATTACGCATATAATAAAATAAATGAGATTTTTTACATTGCGACTTTAGATTTACATAAAAAATGACTGTAGGTAAATATTATGTTTCCTGTTTGCTACGAGGATGCATTTTTGGTACCTAATGATTAACTTAGATTATAATCATTAATGGTATGCCGATAGCCGAACGAAGACTCGTTTATCACGCCACCTATAAACTTATTATTAACGAATAGTCCGTAATAGCTATCTTTGATGGCGCAGAAAAAGTTGAAGCCAATGTCATATGAAGAATTTAGCCTTCGTTTTATTGTTAGGAGTCATGCTTAGTTTAATTGCCTTGCTATATTACAACTTACATCGGTTCATTAGTGCTTCTTTGATTACAAACCAATGACTAGAAGACTGACATGCAGTTCAAATTGTTACTTGATTACTTTTCCAAATCAGGTCGTTATGTAGCAAATGTCTCTCTTATTTTTACACTACATGTAAGAATACACTTTAATAACATATTTCACAAGTAAATATATTTTATAAATCCTTACATTTATTTTAAAATGGAGTAACGAAAGTAAAAGTCGTTTCATAGTACCCTGAGGCACGGAACCCCAAAAATCGTTGAGATAATGAATATTTCCTGCTACTGGTGTTTCCCGTTACTTAATTAGTAACCTCGAATCGTAACAAACTACCTTACAAGCCATAAAACATGCGGATTATTGAAAAAGAATA